TTGAGTCGATGGCTACAGACTTATAGTCGTATATGCGTAAACAACGCATGCGTACGTAGCATCTGATGAAAACAACGCATGCGTACGCAGCGGCTGATGAAAACAACGCATGCGTACGCAGCGGCTGATGAAAACAACGCATGCGTGCGTAGCGGCTGATGAAAACAATGGCTGAAGATTAAATACAAAAAAAGAAACGGTTGAAAACCAAATGCATGAAGACTGAATATCTGAAGACCAAATGCCTGACGTCCAACTGCATGAATACCGAACGCTAAAAGCACAAATATATGAAAATTGAATGCTTTAAGACTAAATACATGGAAACCAAATGCCTGAAGATTAAATGTAATGCTTGAAAACCGAGTACCTGTAGACCAAATGCACGGAGACCAAATACATAAAAAGTAAATACATGAAGGCTAAATGCATTAAGACCGAATGCTTGAAGACCGAATACCTGAAGGCCAAATCCTCTATTTCAACACAAATCAAGTCTTCGTAGATCCGAGCCCAAATTATTTCAGAGTTTAGGGTGCCAAAGGATGGATAATCCGGTTACCTTGTCGACCAAACCCCTTACTGGCCTCTGATTATTCAAATACTCTCATTTGGAGGGTAGCTGCGAACTCTCATTTGGAGGGTAGCTGCGAACTCTCATTTGGAGGGTAGCTGCGAACACTATTTGGAGGGTAGCTGCGAACTCTCATTTGGAGGGTAGCTGCGAACACTATTTGGAGGGTAGCTGCGAACTCTCATTTGGAGGGTAGCTGCGAACACTATTTGGAGGGTAGCTGCGAACTCTCATTTGGAGGGTAGCTGCGAACACTATTTGGAGGGTAGCTGCGAACTCTCATTTGGAGGGTAGCTGCGAACACTATTTGGAGGGTAGCTGCAAACTCTCATATGGAGGGTAGCTGCGAGCTCTCATTTGGATGGTAGCAGCAAACTCTCATTTGGAGGGTAGTTGCGAACTATCATTTGGAGGGTAGCTGCGAACACTATTTGGAGGGTAGCTGCAAACTCTCATATGGAGGGTAACTGCGAACTCTCATTTGGAGGGTAGCTGCGAACTCGCATTTGGAGGGTAGCTGCCTGCAACTAACATCTGTAACGAAATAAATAGTTAATAAAATTCGTGATTTTTGGTCAGTTTCTATTTAGAGTTCAATAATTAGCTTTTAAATCCAATGCCGTATCCCCTGACACTTTCGATTGAGCTTCAAATTTTAAGAACGATAATTATATAAATGATTGATAATTTTTATGTAAATTTTTAACGAAAATGATACAGATAAAAATGTTGAAGGGAATTCGAAATCACTCTTGGCCAAACAACTGTAATTCTTCAACATAGTTTTATGGATAATCGGGGGGAAATTTCTAACTTATTACTTCAATAATCAACGACGCAAAATAAGAATTAGCATTTAAAATGGGTATTAAAGTAAAGATTGACTGATTTTTTCGGGCATAAAGTTCATAAAAGATCGGATATCCTCGTAGTATCCTCTACGGATATTACGAGGATAAGTGATGTAGAATTCCCAATTGGTTGAATGAATTTCTCTGCTGAGGTAGGGCAGTGGATTGCCACATAGCTGGTACAGTCGCAGCAGTTAACTTCAGTCAGCCAATCAACTCCGATGAACCTAAGAAAAATCAAAACTATATAAAGCTTCTTGTTTTAGTCAAGTTAACTGCCCTATAACATTTTCAAATATTTTGCAAATTTATTAAATTTTACATTTATCAGCTAATACTGAATCATAAATATATTTGGAAAAATTTATATATTAATTCATATTTTCTTATAACTCATACTTATATTGATTATACATCATTCGATATTGATATTTTACTAAATTTTTACTTAACGAATGAAATTAAGGACTATTCATACATTCTCACTCTTCACACTCGTACGTTCATATATGCACGGAAATAATTTGTCAGGTATTCGCCGCCATTTCTCCGGCGTTCGATATGCAGATCTCAGTTCAGTTGATCGTTGTTATCAATTCCTGCCTCACAATGCCCTGGTAGCCACGATGCCCGCTGCCTACGTGCCCGAAATTGAATTACTTTTATTTACCTTTTGGTCATAGTTGGGCCAGACACCACTCAAAAAAATGAACGGGTTTTAGTGACTCACTTTCAAGAATCTGTATGATTCACACGAGGGCAGGACTTGAAACTACACGAACAGTTTTTTTTTTGGTTTTGGAATCGCGTTGCATTGAAGCACAGTAACCGCAAACTTAGTTACGCTCGAGCGAACGTGAGCTGCAACGCGCATCGAAGATCAGGTGTTGGAAGTGAGCCAAGCAGGCTGTATTAAATGATATTCGGTGTTTTGGTTGTATTGAATTATATTGTATTTTGTGTAAAAATTGTTTGCTTATAACTCGAATTTAAAAATAGCCCGAAGTGTTTTTTTCATTATTTAAAACGAGATTAAACTAGAGTTTCATATTCCATGCATAATCTGCGTTTGAAGGAGGCTTTCTAGAATTTTTATACATTGCCTTTATTAGTGTTTATTAGTGTTCGATGCTCCAAAAAAGCTGGGTTCATAATCAAATTAATTTACTACACTTTATGGTTTATTGTTCTTGGTTATTGTAGGTTATTTTGTGTTGTATATTCAAATTAATGCATTTTCATGAAAGCTCCTCAAATGTAAAATAACGACGTAAAAATTGCCTGTTGGGGCAGCAAAGACGAAGTGGTTGTGTTGGCACAAGAGTTTAGCCTGGAAATGCCATGGCATATTGGCTACGCTACGCCACGCTCTTGCCAGACATTAGAGCGCCATTATGGCGCATTGTGGCGCGGCTCTTGCCACACATTAGGGCCATTATGGCGCGTTATGGCGCTGTTCTTGCCACTCGTTAGCACCATTATGGCGCGTTGTGGCGCGGCTTTTGCCACACATTAGCACCATTATGGCGCGTTGTGGCGTTGCTCATTAGCTCTTCTCGCGTGCGCCACACCCACTATTTTAGCGATGTCAAGCACACAATTAAAGCTTTTACCATTGCATCGCTGCCACAAAAATACCGTGCGAAAGTTGGCTGTTGGCTTTTAAGGCTTGCGAAACATGTTAGCAATCTCCAGCAAGGTTGCTAGACGGTCTTTTTTTCCAGACAAATTCCGTGATTTAGTTTTTTTCCAATTGCGTTGGCCGGCTAAAATTTATGCTAGGGGTACATCAAAATTAAAAAATTAAAAAAACTGCAAGAAAATTGAATGAAATTTTTACATCGTCACCTACAAATATAGTAGTATATGTTGAGTCATAGGCCTTTTTTGACATTTTTGTTCGCAGACCTGGCCTTTTTTAGGCCATCTGGCAACCCTAATCTCCAGCGCCTGTGCTTGTTTAAACTTTCGGGTACGAAGTGATGTTAGAACATATAAATAAAGTTTAAAAATTATGAAATTTTTCATTCTGTTTATTGCGGTTCAGCATTTTGAATGAAGTACTGGGAAATGATTATTGAAGAAGATATAATTAAAGTTAAAAATTAGGGAAAATTTCATTCTGTTTATTATGCTTAAGCTTTTTGAATGAGGTAATGGAAAATGATTACATAAGAACATATGAGCAAATATGTGCTATGCTATTTCAACATATAATACAGTATGCTATAGTGTTACTTTCGCATCATGCCAGATGATATACTGTGATCAGAAATTAGGCTACAATGTTATTGCATGTTATGCTACAGTTACACGCTATACTGTTATTGCAAACTTCGCTATAGATGCTATACTTTTACATTATATTTTGCCATAGTGTTAATGCATATTATTATCATTGAACTGTTATTGCACATCTTACTTTACGTACTTGTTTAGCATATTTTGTTGCATACTATACTTGTAAAGCAGATTTTGCTACATGCTGTACTAGACATCGTAATATTTATTTGGCCATTGAAATCCGTGCGATGCAGCAGCAGAAGAAATGCACGAACTTGCGTCGCCCCGCGCGCCGCGATCGTCCAAAAATCGCCTGACTTTAGCGCTCGGAAAGTACAAGTTTACTGAAGAAAAGTAGCTTTATTTCATGAGTATTAGAAGTATTAATCAAATGATCATGAACATGAGATTGAAGGCCCGTTTATACCATGAAGTGAGGTTTACTTGAAATTCATGCTATCGGTGGATTAATCATTCTAATAAAAACTTTATATGGTGAGCTAATGGTCTACATAGATTATTATACACTATACATACACCGATGTTTTCTCTAACACCAACACCATCATTTTTCCTGGACAACTTTGCCATAGATAAAAAGTTTCATTGATTCAAACTTCCGTTGAAAGCCCGGGAGCCGCTGCGCTCGGCCTAAACTGATGTGGCAGTTTTCAGTAATATTTTCTCCTGATATTCCCACACAATTACTCTAAGATGCACAAGGAACTTGTACATTTCCCCTGAATTCCACGTGTTAGGGTCACATTTCTTCCCCGAAGCCGTAATTTATCATTTTTGGCAGAATTCCTTTCCTAAATCCTATTTTCACGACGAATTTCCATCAGGTTCAAGAAAAATAACCTAAGCGGTCAATGAATGGACTTAGGAGCTGTCCACCCTTAATGACTTCAGGTTCAATGTGCGGCCACCGCTTTTTACAATGAACTGTCAAATTTGAAATGACTATTTCTGCGAAGTACGCAACATCTTGGAAGTAATTCTTTGTCATCAAAATTTTTCTTATGCTTAACTGGATTTGTAAATTCTTGTTTAGTTTTAATTTCATCTCCAAAATCATAGGCGCCTTTCATTGCACTGGTCACAACATCAAGATGGCCACGGTAACACGTACCAAGATTTGATTTTGGGGCTCAAGCATGGGCAATGCTGAAGCATCACCCTCGACGCCTACCAAGCTTTGTCCATCAGCGATATCGAAGAATGGACTGAGTACCATGGCTCGATTACCAAGGTAGTGGTTAAAAATACCGCATCTGATTTGAAACTAATCATAAATTGAATATTTTTATTCACAGGCAAGATGACACACTCGTGAACGATGACAATTGCCTTGTCAAAAGTTTAAATATGTAGAATGGAGAACAACAATAGGACTAAAATGAGAAGAAAGTGCAAGCGATTTTATGAAGTATAGTAAGATAAATAGCTAAAACGACGACGTCGAAGCGGTTAATGAAAATTTTATGGTAGAGATAATAGTATGAATGATGAACAGGGCTAAATTAGGCTCCCTAGCATTTAATCTCTCAACCTGTAGTTCATGTTCCATGATTTTATTTAATTCGTACATCAATAATTCACAGGTTCGGGCAAAATGTTGCTCTATGTTGGCTATAGGTGACGAAACACTGTAGGCTAAGGCAAAATGCTGCATTATCAGCACCATTATTATTTTCCTGAAGTCTGGAACACGCACCAAAGTCTCCAAAGGTAAAGACGGACAATTCTCCTCCAGAATTTTGAACATGAAGCTCAGCACGCTCGTGTATGTCTCCCATGAAGCATGCAGCATCATTTCTTTCTCTTGGTCAGATATTGGATGATCGTCGCTACGGAAGACGTACGTATGACTTGACAACGCCTTGTCTAAGAACGAGTCTACGTTCCGAGTGCAGAGAACAATGACGAAAAGATTTGTCTTCAGAATATCCCTGCGAATTTCTCGAACCCTTCGAGGGCCTCCAGATGTTGAATAAAGCATGCGTAGAGGCAGGAGGTCGACCTGCATGATCACTTCTGCACGTAGAAAATAAAGGATATAATTTATCAAATAGGCATAGGATATTTGTTAACAAATAGGTATAGGTTATTAGTTAACAAATAGGTATAGGATATTTTTTAATAAATAGATATAGGATATTTGTTAACAAATAGGTACAAGATATTTCTTAACAAACTGGTATATTTCACCATTGCGACACGGAAAATTATATAATTCGTCGAACAGTGATTCTGAATTTGCATTATTGCTGAGCCAGAGGAGTTTTTGATTATTCAACGAGTGCACTGAAAAAAAACTTGCAGTTTTGTGAGCTCTGGGCGCCTCAAGTGACACTTGTATCATTTCTTAGCAATGATTTCCATGCAATGTTTATCATCCATGCAAGCCTTGGTGGTGGATGTACGTGCAATGTTCATCCAAGCAAGGCTTAGCTGGGGATCGACGCACCTTAAATCAACATTGCTAAAAATTTGATTTGGTGAGAAAGAAGGTCGACGTTTCATTGGTCGATGAAAATAAAAAATTTTAAATGGAAATTTTTTAATTTTAATGAATTTTTTTTTTTTATTTTAATGAAAAAAAAAATTTTTTTCATTTTTTTGTGAGATGCCCATGCATCTCATGTCAATATTTAAATCAACCTGCACAAAATTCGCCGCATCGATGCAATAAAATGCATGGGCACACATGAAGAAATGAAATTATATGAAATACTTGGAAACTTAAAAAGCTCTCATTCATTAATGAAGGGTCGCTGAAGAATTCATTTTTGATAAGGTGAAGCCGAAATACTTTACATTGTTGCAACATTTGTCCTGCAGCAATTAAATCGTAACACGTATACCTAATGTCATTGGTAAAATATATAAATGGAATCAATAAAATACTCAAATATCCATTACCCTTACGAGATGGTAAACGTAAACGCCCAGCGCCTACAATAAATACGCCAGACAGCTACAATAAATACATCTGACACCTGTAATAAATACACCCAGCATCTGCAATAAATACACCCAGCACCTGCAATGAATACACCCAGCACCTGCAATATATACACTCCGCACCTGCAATAAATACACCTGGCACCTGCAATAAATACACCCGAAACCTGCAATAAATACACCTGCAATAAATACACCCGAAACCTGCAATAAATACACCTGCAATAAATACATTCCGCACCTGCAATAAATACACCCAGCACCTGCAATAAATACACCCGGAACCTGCAAGAAATACACCCCGCACCTGCAATAAATACACCCCGCACTTGTAATAAATACACCCGCACCGGCAATCAATACACCCCGCACCTGTAATAAATACACCTGCAATAAATACACCCGGAACCTACAATAAATACACCACGCACCTGCAATGAATACACCCTGCACCTGCAATAAATACACCCCGCACCTGCAATGAATACACCCCGCACCTGCAATAAATACACCCCGCACCTGCAATTAATACGCCCCGCACCTGTAATAAATACACCTGCAATAAACACACCCGGAACCTACAATAAATACACCCCGCACCTGCAATAAATACACCTGCAATAAATACACCTGGCACCTGCAATAAATACACCCCGCACCTGCAATGAATACACTTGGCACCTGCAATGAATACACCTGGCATCAGCAATAAATACACCTGGCACCTGCAATAAATACTTAAATACACCCGCACCTGCAATAAATACACCCGCACCTGCAATGGATACACCCGCACCTGCAATAAATACACCCGCACCTGCAATAAATACACCCCGCACCTGCAATGAATAACTGCATTTCCAAGAACTCAGGATGCAGGTCCTCTTCGACGTACTCCAGACAGGCGTCGACGTCCACTAATATCTCGCAATGGTCGTTGTACGTCAGCCAGAAATTTTCGAAATCGTAGCGTATAATTTTTTTGGTTTCGTCGTCGCTGTAGTCGGCAGCCCCCGGCAGCAACACCTCGAGCCAGTGTTTGCATAAATCTTTCATTCTTTTCGGCATCCAGCTTTTGATGTCGGATTCGCGGAAAAGTTCCCACAGATCGGCGCGGTCTTGGATCAGAATTTCTACCGGGATAACGAACCCCTGGAATTAAGTTTTTGGTTTAGGTGAATTTCACAGTAATGTAAAACCCCACTAAAAGTCATACAGCTATTTGCCACCACATACGATGTGAAATAAGTTTTTGATTTAGGCGAATGTACTTCTATAAATTCAGTGTACGTTACACACAGCTAATGAAATTTTATTTAAAAAAATAAATTCATGACTTTTTTTCGGAAAACTTTTTTCCAAGTATGTGCTCATTATATTCCAGGGAACTTTTCGAAAATGTAATTTTTTTAAACTCTTCGTAATGGTTTTTACATTATATAGAAAAATCGAAATCTTTGAACTTCTCAAGTTAATCTATTACAGTAAAGTGAGGTTATAAAAAATCGAACTAGAACAATACGAAAAGAAAACATGATCAACATAGCTAAGAATAAATCCTATGAAATACGAGAAAAAAAAGAGGATTAACGTGCTAGACCGGTGCTTAGGATTAACCCTGTAGGATTAACCCTGATAACCCTGATTAACTTTATAGGATATAGACTGGCGTTTAGGGCTAACCTTGTTCGGGTTTACCCCGGCACTTAGGATTAACTTTAATAAACAAATGCTTTTCAACACGAATTTGTCTTTGAGTTCCAGGAGCCCCAAGGCAATTGAATTCAAATGAAATTTTAATTCAGTTGCAGGAGCGATAGCTTCATAACACCTGCTAACATAAGATATTTTCGAATTCATTCCCAACCATTATTATTACATTCATCGATACTCATTAATATTGCATACATCGATGCAGAATAAGTGTGCATTATATTATTATTATTATTATTCTGGCCTTCTCCGGTTAGATAATCTTAACAATTTTTGAATATTTCTAACCCTGAACAAATTTATAAAAATAAAATAAATAATGCTAGTTAAAGTTAGACTTTATGGAACCCAAATTTTACACATAACTCGTACTTTACTTTCGCTCCAAATTAGTTTAAGTTTACAGTTTACAGTACGCAGGAGGAAGACACGAGTGCTGGAAATCAATGATAATGAAGAAAAAAAAACGCTCAGGGTTGTTAAGAAACTTACAGGATTGCTGGCCTCGGATGACATGTCAGACGACATGAGTTTTAAATTCTGAAAAAAATGTCGACATTTTGGCCATACTTGCCATACGAAGGCCAAAATTTACATGCAAATAAATAACATCAGAACAATCACTCAGAAAAATAAATGTGTAATATTGTCCAAATAGTAACACACATTTTACCCACAGCACCATCAGAGAGCGGTGGTAGCACTGATACGCTGTCAGGATGACTGACACAACATGGGTAAACCGTGCATCGCTATTCGGACAATCACTATCTCATTTTTCTGAGTGAAAATTAGGATTCATTATCAGTCTAAAAAGTTTCTTTGTCCAAGTAATCATACTTGCCGCATAATTGAATTGAATGAATTAACTTACTTAAATAAATTAATTAATTGAATGTATAAGTAATGAATTGAATTAACCAGTATAAATGACCAAGATGAAAATATTTTCATCTCATACATTTCGTTAAGTTTCATCCGTTAATTAAAATGAATTTATTCTCATATTCAAAAATTATTCTTCAGCAGAGTTCCAAACTCCAAAAATTAGGCAAAGTAATTACCGCACTAATTGACCGCACCATGTGACGCACTAATTGTGCGTCACATGGCATCATATTACGTAATCTAAATTCTGGTACTTCTGCATAAAAAGACCAACTGACTTGAATCGAAGGAACGCTGCATGTGTAACTCAAACCTAACCTGTCTAACGTGGTCATCGATAACCTAAAGCGGTCATCTATACCCTAACGTGTTTATCGATAACCTAACGTGCTTTTCAAATACCTAACGAAGTTATCGAAAACCTAACGTGGTTTTCGATAACCTAGCGTGGTTTTTGATAACCTAACTTGTTTATTAATAACCTAACGTGGTTATCGATAACCCAACGTGGTAATCGAACCCCACAAATCGCACCACTGACCAGTCTTATAAGCACGGTTCTCGTTGACAAGTGGCGACTTTAGTGTAGTATCTGTTGACTGGCGATTCACGTGTCAATTCGTGCATCTCGAATTAAATTTTAAATCACCACGTTATATTGGCTACGACAAATGGTTGCTCGTTTCAGCCTGCCTTAAATTTTATGACATTCACATGAAATTCACGATATTCGTAACCATTTAACGTCACGAAAAAAGGAAAATTAACGGGCCATATTTTCAAAATATTGAAAATTTATGCACGCAGCACTGACACAAATTTTTGCTATCTCAAAATGGGTCAGGCTGACCCACTCCAGAATATAAAGTGCACTGCTGTTCGAATAATGAGCCGCTCATTCATACGAGTGTGCTTCCTAAATTTACGGCATATGTACGAAGTTTGCGTATTTGGCATGAATTGTAGGTAATGATATTGGGGGAAATAAACTATAAATTAGTTGGCAAAACCGAGTTTCAAACTCTGTTGCATGCATCAGGCAGGTGATAAATTAATATACTTTGTAGGACAGGAGGAAACTAATTTAATTCCAAGCCACGAATTTTACAGAACCTGTAACGTGAAAACCACAACACAAGTTATCAATTAAACTACGGCTGAAAAACGTCACAATTTTCATATTCAAATCACAGTCGGACACTTGATTATTTAATAAATTTAATCACTATTAATAGTTGAAGAGGTTTCCATTATAAATGCTACGCACAATCTCCCTCGTTCTAAATTGTGATGGCGCCATCAGTGAACTATAAGTGTCATGAATGAATTGTTTACGGCAAGGAATCATAAAGAATCAGTGGAAGGAAATTTCATGGAATTTATTGTGTGAAGTTTGCTCGATAATAACTATATATTGGGCTAAGATGAATTTGAATTGAGTTATATCCTGTTAAATATTCGTGTACTTTGTTCATTTCTATGAATAAAAACTAAAAAACCGAATTTAAATTTTCTGATAACTAATGATTGTTTGACAATTATGCTGGAGTTTTAAAAAAGTGGTAATAAAGTTGTCTAAGTTTAAACTATTTATTTTAAATTATAACATATTTTATTCCACCGAAAAATGCTTAAAAAGGCCCAATTTATTATTTATTCTTAGCATTATGTCATCGAAATAATTTCGGTGAATAAGAGTGAGGGCGAAGGCGAGTTTTGCTTAAATTATTCACAAAATAATTATTGATACGCGATGAAATAGGTAAAAGTTTTAGATAAGCAATCCGTAACACAAGTTAATACTTAGTGATTACTACGTGCACTTTAGCGACCATTTTTCAGCTTCCGCATTAAACGCAGTGAGTTTAAAATGTCTTCCAAATTAATATACGCATTCTAATAAACCTTCTCGGATGTAAATTGTTCGTTTTAATTTAACTTGGCTAAAGTCAATAGATGTGAAGTTGGAAGCATCCAATATTAGGTAAAACTTCCAGACTGTATCTCACAGCCTCATCTTAAAAAAGTGTTGGTCGGGATAAATTTTTATATGTTGCTTGCATTCTTGAGCTTTATTTTTTCCACTTACTACAAAAATCACCGTGATTTCATAGATCTTATCAACCTCATTAATAAGGCAGCGATCCGAAATGTTCGCGGCTTTACAATAGTAATAAGATGCTTAGCTTGAGTTTGTGAACTTAAATATTAAAGTTCCAACTATGAAATCATTTTTTTTATTTAAAAAAGCAGCGGTAACAATTTTCGAAGAGTCTGCCGAAAACTGGCAAAAAAACTTCACTTCAATGCCACAGAAGGCTTTTAAATCCTCAAATGGACAGCGCTTTCCCCCCGGCCATAAAAAACTAAAATTATGGCAAATTTTCTGTAGATATCTAAACATCCCTGGTGTGCCAAACAGAAGCGGAAGAGACAAGGTCCCAGCCCTAACACGAGTTACTGGCACCAATAGCCCATGGGTCGTAATATCGATAATCAAATCGAATTTTGTATATCGATTTCGTATATCGAATTCGTATGTCGAATTCGTATATCGAATTCGTATATCGAATTCGTATATCGAATTCGTATATCGAATTCGCATATCGAATTCGTATATCGAATTCGTATATCGAATTCGTATATCGAATTCGATAATCGTCAGCCTCACTGAGGGGTTTTCGATTTAATCACACCAACCACAGACGAGTAATCGACCGCTACGATAACTTAGTCTGCTTCGTGTACCAGGGCGGCCCAAAACTTTTTTCATGCCGCTACGTGTACTTAGGCCGCTACGTGTACTTGGGCCACTACGTGTTCTTACGCGAGCACGGTCCCCTAGTCAACAACTACGCTTGCATTTCTCTCAACTCCCCCTTCTTGCAGGGTAGCTCTTAATTAAAGATGAAACACAGTTGAATAATAAAGTCAACAGATACTGCCGGGTTCCACCTATATACACTAAAAAAATACGAGATTTTTTCAAGCAACGATGTACTTTATTGGTCCTCAGTTTATCATCCTGACTTAGTTTGGTCCATCAATATAAGGCGCATCAGTGCCACGTCCGATCTCTGCTCAAGCTGTGTGTAATAAAGTGTGTTTTTATTTGGACAATATTCTTACTCATTAATACTTATGATTGTAGTCCTCGGTTTCTGTACCAAATGCGAAAATTAGGTAGATGTGGAAATTGTAGAAGGCCGTTCATAATCGTAGTTGGCCGCTCGAAATCGTAGCATGCCGTTCATAATCGTAGCATGCCATTCATAATCGTAGCATGCCATTCAAAATAGTAGCATGCCGTTCAAAATCGTAGCAGGCCGTTCACAATCGCAGCAGGACGTTCACAATCGCAGCAGGACGTTCACAATCGTAGAAGGCCTGTCAAAATTGTAGCAGGCCTTTCAAAATCGTAGCAGGCCGTTCAAAATCGTACATGGCCGTTCACAATCAACGACCCTGACTGAAAAAAAACAGGTTTCTAAATAGAAAGCAAATCAGTAAATAAAATACATCAGCCACCGGAATAAAAAAAGAAAATAAAGCTTCTGTGCAAAGCGATCTGACATATGTATTACCAAGTTAAAAATCGCTATTTACGTACGTGCAGCGATAGTCACATCTTTTGTAAAAAATATTCAGTCTTTAGATTAAACACATGCTAAAACATAGGAAAACGTGTAAGATTTATAGTTAGTAAAACTAATATCATTACAGTCTTAGCTAAAAACACGATGAGAACATTTCACCAGGCTAGAACATCTTACCGCGCTGTTATCATTTGAAGAACATTAACGATGCGCTAAAAAATGCAAAACTATCTAGCAGCCACGTTATTCACGATAAGCTAACGAGATCGCAACGAACAACTATAGAATTTTAATTATTCCAAAAATTTCAGCGCAGCATATTTGGTTTAAATTTGTTAACCGTTCTACATTGATGCGCATTCATTCATAGATTAGTTACATTTATTATGTCAAATTCAAGATTGCGTTAGAATGTAAAATTTACAAGCAACCTGCATTGTGTTCCAGACGCACTAGGTTTTAGTCCTTTCAGAAGAAAAAGTATAAAAAAATTAATGATAGACGCGAGACAAATTCTTCTTACAATTCTTAACACGTGGAGGAAGCCTTTAAAATTCAAGAAAAACAGTAAAGTTACCCATGAAAAATATTTAAGTCCGAGCAGACGCAGTTATTGAAAATCTGATGGTCGCGATTATGTTTTGAATAATCAACAATGCTATAAAAGGTTCTCTACAATATCCTCTCACCGTATTCAGCTCACGACTCAGTTTTTTATGCAGATTAAGCATCAGCAGCTCACCAACATCGATAAGATATTCACAAATATCAGTATCCGGAGACGACGCGCAATATGCCTGCGTGAAATGCCTTACAAGCAAATGCAAGATGAACCTCCTTAGGATGGGGCGGTGAATCATTAACAATATGGCCTGGAGTGAGGGACAATTTTTATGTAAGGTTTTAATCATGAACTTAAGAACCATGAAGTATGTGTTCCACGAGGCCATCATCACCAATCGCTTGTCCAAATCGGTCATTAGAGTTTCTCGGCTGCGGAAAGTGAATTTGTGATGCAGTGCGGCGTCCTCTATCAAGTCCTTCACGTTGCGAGTGGCCATCACGATGATGAAGATGTTGGCTTTCCTTAATTCCTTTTGAATTTCAATAATTTTTTCTTCACAGGTGGCCGTTGGGTAGAGGATTAGTTTAGGACGTTCTACAGTTGGCATGAAGAAGCCTGTTTGTTCAGAATGACTTAATGAACATGCAACAGTTGAGGTTAAGTATGTATAATTTAGCGCCCTTTATCAATAATAATGATAATTCAAGCGTTAGTGATAATTGAGTTATAGAAATTGCTATTATATGGCGTGAAATTCCAAAGATTATATAATTCCCAACAACCTAACTAATCAACAATGTACAAACTTTGATTGATAAAGCTGAACAACAGCTGATACACAGCGTTCTATCTAGAGCAGAAATTCGTATAAATATATATGTATTGATATATAATAATTATGATATATAGAGCATGGCTCGAACCTGCAAGAAGTACTTGTATATTCAGGAAGCTTCTCAGTCCCTTTTCTTCAGCGTACTTGATGAAGTTGTCAACGTAAACGCGCATTTCGGTTCCATCATTAAAAGTGACGGAAAATTTCTCGAAGTCATAACGTGTGATTTTTCTACCTTTTGGGTGGTAATCTGAATACCAACACACGTGTGGCAGCAATGAGTTCACCCACTTGTTGCGGAGTTCATCCAAGCTACCAAGCATCCATTCAGTGATACCCGTCTTGAAAAACAGTCGCTCCAAATTTCGCTCATCTTCAGGTCGGATAAGGGCGAACAACGTAGCTATTTGCTGCACATGAAAGCGACCCGGGACATAGAATTAGGCTTTATTATAATGCAAGTACAAGTAAATCATTCATTGACAGTCATGGAAATTAATCAATTTTCAATTGAAATATGAATGCACTAGTTTTGATCATCCGAACCTGTAAATTAACTCATTATTTGACACCTACTCTGAGGAAAATGAACGAGAGTTTGTCCAAATAGCGAGACACTTTTTTGCTATTATGCAGGTCATCCTGACCTAGTTTGGTCTGGAAAAAGGGCGTATCAGTGCTACGTTCACAAAGTGAGGCGCAATTTGGACAATACAACCCATTCACCTTTCCGAGTTTAGTAACAATTAGGAAATACGTGTTTAACTAATGAACAAACTATTTTCCGCTCACCTACTTGATGTTATCTATTTTTACTATATGCTTTCGTACTCACTTCGCTGAATGTAAAACTCATGGCGATCGTCGAAGTTTCAGGTCGATAAATATTACTTATAAGAAAAAATCATGACACCTGCTGCGAGAGAAATTGTACGAGCGTGAGTTGCATGAAGTTATAAGCGTTAGCAGGAAAGACATCAGCCGTTTGCATTTACACTTCAGAACGCAATGCTGGGTAAAGTGCGCTACTTCAGCCGTTTGCATTTACACTTCAGAACGCAATGCTGGGTAAAGTGCGCTACTTCTGCCGTTTGCATTTACACTTCAGAACGCAATGCTGGGTAAAGTGCGCTACTTCTGCCGTTTGCATTTACACTTCAGAACGCAATGCTGGGTAAGGTGCGCTACTTCAGCCGTTTGCATTAGACTCCAGGAACAAAATGCGGGGAAGGTTGTAGTCATAACGTTACATACCATATAACCATATCTTACATTTAATTATATAGCCATAGGAGCGCATTAAGTCCGCCGGTCCACATGACTAGGCTTGTCGATTCATTTGAACGAAATGCGACAAAAAATATGAAATGTTCATCATGTCACATCAAAATGGAAAATTCAAGCAAAATTGAAGGAAGAATCTATTTAAGAATTCTTTGGGAAGTAATGCAAGAATTGATAAGATATTGATGCACGGATTGGCTACGGAAGTGAATGCGTTAGTCGATAAGAGAAATGCATGCAAGAATTGATAAGATTTTGACGTAAAAACACAAATAATGACACCTGAAGTAAACCCAAACTCCAACTCTGCCGTTGCAAGGTGTCTCCAATTACACAGTCTCATCCGACAGACATCTGACTTGACAATTAGATCGATTGCATAATAATGTCTTCAGATTGCACTCCAGCTCATCCAGCAAAATAGATGGACGAGAAGGATTTCAACTTGAAATAGTCGTTGAAAATTATGTTAGATTAGATACTCATTTTATGCGTGGAATAATTCAGGCCTAAAAAATGTAATTCGTTTTGATAAGAAAGCATTTAGACGTCAGAATTACGTTATCCCCTCACATTTTACATGCCTGAAAATAAAACCAATCTGTTCTCGTAATGTCACATTTTCAATGAGCAAACTTGAAACTCAATTTTAGCTGCAGGTCAGCATTGCTTTAAACTCGTCGCATCAACTTTTGAATCTCACTTAGGGAAATAAATTGGTCATATTGTCCAAATAGGGACACATTTTCCATACGTTTCACTGATACGTACGTTTGCACGGCAAAATTGGGCCGGTCTGGGCCACAATAGGCAATAAATGAATCGTTATCTGGACAAAGTCTTAATTTATCTGAGTGCCCACTTGAATGAGCACGTCTTCTAAACAATGTAGGGATTCACCATAAAATGAATATGTATCATTTAAAACATTCTACACATCAGAAGCACGGAAGTTGTGAATGAGAACTACAATGTTGAACTTTAGAGGAACTTTGACATGCTGAGGAACTTTAATCATGAACGTCGAGAAGCGGGACTTGCTGTATCTTTTTTCAATAGTATATCACCAAGAATTAGTTTACTTACAGTCGAGTAAAATACTTATCAACAGTTGAGATAGCTCTTATAGTATATCGTATAAGCAAGACTATCTCATACTGTCCTGCATACAGACGGACATGGTACTGGGCAATCTGTACTACTTTCTACGCCATGGTTGCCAGATATGGCATAAAAAAAGGCCAAGTCTGCGGACGAAAAAGGTTAGAAGGGGCATAAAATTAAATATTTATTAGTAAATTTGCTTAAATTTAATATAAATGTTTTCAATTTGTGAAATATTAGAAAGAACCGCCAACATAAATTTTTGCCGGCCAACGCAAGTCCTTCCGGCTTTCTACACTTGCTGCTACACAATATGGAACTGCTTGAGAATAAGATAAAGACACAGCAATTTAAAATATTTTACTATTCGGTCAGGAACTATTGTCGAATTACTCTCAGTAATAAAATTTTATTACAACAATAATGTTTGTAAGGCACATCATGTTACTGAACATTTCTTACGCTCATGGCAGAGCAGAAGACTGAAAAAATTCGTCAACCATTGCTCATAAGTAGACTCGGCTTCTCCCACGCTGCTCCTCTGCCTCCTGAGGGGAAAATTTCCTCTAATAATCATGTGCTACAATCAGATTCACAATTTTATACAATTTTATATTATTCCTACATAGTTTGTATATTGTAGTTATTGAACAGTTATGCTTTAATAAAAAGCACAAACATTTTGACATACGTCTAGCGTTCTCCTTACGAAGCGACGTTCGGTAAGATCATTGAGTATATTACATTTGGACTTCAGGCAATTTTATCAATTGATTTCTGAATTGTAGAATTTGGAGATCCTTGACTTTATTTCAATGACTATTTGCCTTTTCACGAAGAAAAATGATTATATATTTTCGCATTCACATGCTCAATGAGGTTGCGTAACTGATGTTTCAACACCAGCGGAAGACATAATAAGTACCGTCCTACTAACTTCTCAATTAACATCATTTCAAAAATATCAGTGAACTATATATTGTCACTTATTACCTTAAGTGAAGTATTCTTTCACGCATAATGCGAGCTTGAAAGAACTCCCCTAAGATGGACATCCATTAGAGATAATTTGCGTGTCTTTTACTAATACAGTGAGTGATAGGACGGTACCAGTACCTGGAATTTGTTTCCCACTATTTTGCACAAATAAAGCTTCATATTATATCCAGTTCGGAAAATTGAATACTTACAGTAATCTCCTAGACTAGTTTCAAGTAGAGATGCCCATTTTGTCCTTGAGTGGCAATATTATCCAATAAAATATATTCCAATAAAAAAATTGAAAACATTAAATATTCCAATATCAAAAAAATAATTTTGTCAGCTACAAATCTTATAACTGATATTTGACACACTTTTACCTGTCCAATTGATCTGAAATTTTGCACATTTGTGTGAAGTCGGAGGCAATGCATGAATCAATTGACAGAATAAATACATTTGAAACAAAATTTTATATATTAAAAAATTGAAAAATTAACTTTTTTAATATTCGAAAATAAAATGACAAATTCATTGTACATCTGTAACGTTGGAGACCCTGGTTTCTTAAGAAGTGTTGTCTTTAAAAAGTACTTTTTTAACATATATTATTTATATCTTATGTACTGTGAATAATTTCCTGACGCACTGATATGGTTTTACATTCAATCGAGATTTTCGTAAATCGAGAATGAAAATCGAGTGCTTTTCGACTTCACAGATGGGATACAAACAAAAGGGGATTATCGTGCTACTCCGTTCTCAGCTCGTGCGATATGTAGAAAATGTTTTGTGTAACTTGTCCAATACGACTTATTTACTTTTGTGAAGGTTACCTCTAAAAATCTAATCATACTTGCGCTGAAAGATATCGAGTTAGTCAATCAAGAAGGGACAGGTTCTTTCCCAGAGGCTGCGAGAAAAAAGCTCTAGGATGAACAGCGGTCCGAAAGCGGGCAGAGGAAGCCATTATAAATGACCAGAGGGTTTTTAATTTCATCATTTTGCAAGCGTTAATTTCTGGGGGCATACAAAATCCTCGTGCGTCGTTCACCTAGTGTGATGAACACTTATATTTTATTTTTCATTTCAGATCTCCATTGTAGCGAGTCACTGAACTAGAGCGATTACAGGTGGGAAAAAGGGTCGAAAGTGTCGGGTTTCAGCAGTCAAGAAAATTAACCAGTTTCCTGCACCGCAGAAATATCAACGAGGAACAGGCGAGAAGAACAATGCACAGTCTTCGAATGAAGCCCTTGAAACTAGATGCCCGATGCCAAGAACTCGAGGTTGGTATTCGAACTCGGCCGCTGAGACCCGCTGTCTGATGCCAAGAACTCGAGGTTGGTATTCGAACTCGGCCGCTGAGACCCGCTGCCTGAAGCCAAGAACTCGAGGTTGGTATTCGAACTCGGCCGCTGAGACCCGCTGTCTGATCCCAAGAACTCGAGGTTGGTATTTGAACTCGGCCGCTGAGACCCGCTGTCTGATGCCAAGAACTCGAGGTTGGTATTCGAACTCGGCCGCCGAGACCCGCTGCCAGATGCCAAGAACTCGAGGTTGGTATTCGAAGTCGGCCGTTGAGACTCGCTGTCTGATGCCAGGAACTCGAGGCTCATTTCTCATAGAGGACTCCCAAAACACAAGTCCAGTTTGTCTACGGCAAAGTACAATTCGTATCGAAACTGAAAACTGGACATTTGTCTTGCCCCTGAACAAAAGAAAAAAATTTCTGCCACCGAAAACAAAAGGGTGTGATATATATAAAACGATTTTCATAAATATTTTTATTCGTCAATGAAGGGGCACAACAATGTAAAAACCTAAGGCACTAAAATCATTGAATGATTCAATAGTCAATTTATAACAATCTAAGAAAAATCGGAACATTTTGTCACGTCATCCGTCAATTGCGCTCTTTTTAAAACAGGAATGATGAATTCAACAAACAAAAATCACTATAAATCTAGTAACAACGCTCGTGAGGGATGAAAATTCAAAATCACTACGGCAAAACTTCTATGATATTTTTCTTAAAAATGACAGCCATGCATAAAAAATGTATTATTTTCCCCAGTTCTTTACCAAATAGGCACACCCATTTAAGTTTAACACAATTCTAATTTTTTCTTCTCTAGCCATGACATGATTTATGATGAAATATAGGACAAGTTTTATACGAACCAGGCTATAACAGTTATCAAATAATCTTCCAACAAAACTCAAATGAAGGAATTTATAAAACATTTTAAAAGAGCCAAACCATTGATAAATTATTGGTTATGACCGAAAAGAAGCAGTTATAGAAAATCTGATGGCTGTGATTATATTTTGAATAATCAATAATGCTAAATATGGCACCATGACATTACTCTTGACTATATTCAGCTCACGTCTCACTATATTTTGGAGATCAAGCATCAACAGCTCACCAACATTGATAAAATGTTCACTAATATCAGTATCAGGAGATGAGGCGCAATACGCCAGCACGAAATGCCTTACAAGCAAATGCAAGATGAACGTCCTGAGGAGGGGGTGGTGAGTTATCAACATAATCACCGGCAGTGACGGACAATTTTCAAATAAAGTTTTAACCATAAATTTCAGAACTATGACGTAAGTATTCCACGAGGCCATCATCACCAGCCGCTTGTCCACATCGGACATTGGAGTTTCTCGGCTGCGGAAAGCGTATTTGTGGTGCAGGGCGGCGTCCTCTAAGAAGTCATTCACATTGCGAGTGGCCATCATAATGATGAAGATGTTGGCATTTCTTACAAGCATTTTAAATTTTCTCATTGCAGTGACCGTTGGGTAGGGTGGGGAAAGGGGAAAGCCCACACCTGGCGTGACGAGCCCTGTTGGTTCATGGAGTTACGAAACAGACAGATTATGTTAAATTATGCGCTGAGAAAAGGATAGACCACCATGCAGCAATTGGTTGTTTCAGTTATTATTTCTGAGATAAAGGAAAATATAAAACTTTTGTCCTAACAAAACTTAGATGCGGGCCCGAATCTGGAATAGGTGCCGCCTAGGACTCGGGGAACAGGTAAATCAGCCGCTCTATGTCTGCTCCGCTCTGGGTTTGAAGGGAGGCCACTGTGCAATTTGCAAGCTCACTGTGATTCAGCTCGGTCCACCCATGTCATACTCTCAGGCGACTATAAAGTCGGAAAGAAAATCCTGACCCTAAGCTAATTTGATCGGGTGGGCAAGTAGGCCCAGAGGAGCTTAAATCAGAGTATGGCGACTGTTCGGCCAAAGCCAAGGCGGTTCCAAAAAAATTTAAAATGGGTTATTAATAATTCAGTTATCAGGTATCAAATACAAGTAAAAATTCAACAAACTTTCTGATCAGATAGAATCAAGATTATTGGCGGTTCTTCATTCGAAGTGGAAATTCGGATAAAATATTATTTAAATACTAAATGAATAGATGGGGGTGGAATATCTTCCATCCTTGCCCAACACTAAGCCATTACAAGGTGCAAGTCTGCACTCTTCATACTTTTCATTTTTTGGTGCTTGTATTGAATGATACGCAATCTAACTTCAATTGCTTATACTACTGGCGTTATGTTGTTATTTATGTTACGCAGAGACTGGAGTCTATATCCTTTCAAATGCAATCAACTCCAGCATCTCGCGTCTAGTTTCTCAAATTCTGCCCGAATTAAACGTTTTTTCATCATTAGTGCACAAGTTTCTTTTAAACTGTCATTGTAAATATAGGACAAAGAATTATTTATTGAACCGGAGTCAACATTACTACAATAGAAAACCAGGGAGCCAAACCTGCCATGCGTAGTTGATTCTTGAGGAACCGCGGCAGCGCCTCTTCTTCTTCGATGTAATCAATGCAATTGTTAACGTCTACGCGGAGATCGCTTCCATCGTCGAAAAAGACTAGGTAATACTTGAAATCATAACCAACAACTTTTTTCCCCTCGGGGTTAAAATCAGAATACCGCCAGACGTGAGGCAGCAACATTTTCGGCCAATTTTCGTGTAGTTCATCCAAGCTGCTGATCATCCACACAGCGGCGTCCGTCGTCCTAAAAAGATCCTCCAAATGCTGCTGATCCTCGATGAGGAAGTTGAAGGCGGTTTCTGGCAGTACCTGAAAGTAAGAATGATATAAGAGCCATAATCGAAAGTAATTTGGTGGAAAATAAATTATGACTAATAATATGAGACATGAAAGCTCTATTATCGAAAACAGTAAAGACTATAACAAAAGTGTTTCATTTCGTATACCTAATTAGATTTTAAATAACGTGTCGTTGAAATACCGATTACATTATTACACAGGAAGAAGCCAAAAGCTTTTACATGACAATTGCATGAGGAATTCAGTGCAAAGTTCAGTGAAATTGCGAGTGACTGGTGTTTTTAACCAGCGTTAATTACTGTGGCATACCTGATTTATCTGGCGAGGCAAGGCATCGGGGCGGGGCAAGGCATCGAGGCGGGGCAAGGCATCGAGGCGGGGCAAGGTCAAGGCATCGGGGCCGGGCAAGGCATCGGGGCCGGGCAAGGCATCGGGGCCGGGCAAAGCATCGGGGCGGGGCGAAGAATCGGGACGTGGCAGAGTAACCCGATGCGTCAGAGAAACCAGGCGTGGCAGGATAGCCCGATGTGGAAGAGTAACCCGGCGTGGATGAGTAACCCGACGTGGAAGAGTAACCCGACGTGGATGAGTAACCCGACGTGGAAGAGTAACCCGACGTGGAAGAGTAACCCGACGTGGATGAGTAACCCTACGCGGCAGGGTAACGCGGCGCTGAAAAGTAACTGGACGTTGCCGAGTTACCCGGCGCAGCAGAGTAACCCACCGTGTTTGAGTTACCCGACGTTGCAGGGCCCGGCGTAGTATCGCGAGTATTTGTGATGAGAGACGTTCAGATTCATTTTCCTGGAAGAATGGATAAATGTGGCAGGAATAAGGTGGCACGGATAAGGTGGCACGGATAAGGTGGAACGGATATGGTGGCACGGATAAGGTGGCACGGATAAGGTGGCACGGATAAGGTGGCATGGATAAGGTGGCATAGATATGGTGGCATAGATATGGTGGCATTGGATAAGGTGGCATGGATAAGGTGGCATGGATAAGGTGGCATGGATAAGGTGGCATGGATAAGGTGGCACGGGTAAAGTGGCATGGCTAAGGTGGCACGGGTAAAGTGGCATGGATAAGGTGGCATGGTTAAAGTGGCATAACAATTAATAGCCTATTCAATTAATGAGAAAAAAAGTTTCTCATTCACCACTAGGCACATTTTTGCAGTCAACATGCGTCAATTTCTCTATGGAAATTTGATGCGAGGTGTGAGATTTAATGCATCAACACAGACAATAAAATTCTAATTTCAGTTTATCGTACTATTGTTTAATAATTACTATTTCTTATGAATTCAAAGTTTTAATTAGGCATTCCTAGCTAATAAATGTGTTTTTAAATTTATTTAATCTTAACACTTATTTAAATCATACGAGCCTTAACTCCATGTGCAAAAATCGAGCGCGTCAGAAATCGTGAATAGTTATGTAAAAGCGCAATTTTTCAAACATTAACCACGAAATTTAAACATTCGAAGACAAAATTAAATACATGAAAATTAGACTGAGAAGTAAATTTATTGTTACTTACTTGAGATACTTGGGAACTCATGTCCAGAAATGGAGAAGTATCTAAAAAATTAAAAAATTATAGCCAGAAAAGCACTAACATCTACAGCTGAAAAAATTATATGAATAGCGACAGAAATTTTAAGGAAAGATGCAACCCCAAAAACTGACCGTTCGGCCTAACTTCAGACGCCGAATATTTTATAAAGACACCTCCTGGGACAATTAAAAATTTCCGAAGACAATGCCCCTGAAGCTACCACAGCCATCAGCCTTCATTAGAAAAGATTGATTGTATAAACTAAACAGCTGGCAAATTTCTATTGGGATCAGTGTAGCTTCATAGTAATTGTGGTATTATTACTCAGCAAGTGGTAATTCTCGATGGTTCAGTACAGTTTTTATTGATTAGCGCCGATTCAAGTGCAGTGACTGCTGAGTAGCGACACTAGTGTTGTTGATCAGCTAGGCATTGAATAAGTATTTCTATCATAATCTATTTGAAATGGTGCACATGGTTTCATTTTCTAGCTACGCCGTTATCAATTAATGTATTTTTAAATTTCCTATGTTTTTCTTCTGGGTTCTCAACCTTTTCATTTGTAGCTCCGCCCTTGTTAAAATCATTAATAAATTACCTTGAGTTAAAAACCATGGCCACGTAAACACTTTGTTCCCCGAATTTATCGCCTAATTAAAGTCACAGATCGAAAAGACTGAAATGTTATTAAAAAAGAAATAGAGCAAATTGAAAAATGGCATCATACGGAAAATTAAATCTGTGTTAGTGTGAGAATACCAGACGTATTAAACCAATTATTATTACGGCGGGGATTATACCAGACCATTCCATCTATTAATTAATCAAGGGTCTGATATTATACCAGTCGTATTGAACAAATTATTCTAACGTTTGGTGTTATACCAGACCAGTTAGTTTACGAAGGTATGTATATAAAATAAATTATATGCGTATCTAGGTCACACGACTAAATCTTAGCGAATACTTACAAGTTGCAATAATTGACCGTTGTTAATTTTCTAAGACTAAGACTCATCGACTAAGAGGTTTGTCGATGGCCACCTTATCATCGAGAAGCACCCCCTATATATCAAAATTAAAAAATTTCCGGGTGTGCGACAAGGTCAAATTTAGTCAGAGTGACATTTCTAGGAGCTGTAAACAGGAGTTGTAAATAGGAGCTGTAAATAGGTTCACGTCGCTGGCACAATGATCATCAACTGATTGACAGTTTTAAAACAAATTGAACAGAAAGATTACGAACGGATAAAATGGGGAGATTGCGAATAGATCCAACAGAAAGATGACGGAGAATAGAACAAAGAGGATGACGAATGCATTTAATGGGAAGATAAAGGGATCGAACGAAAAGATGAAAACGATTGAGAGGGAAATATTACGAACAAATCGAACAGAAAATTAACAGGTCATCATACGAATTTTACTGAGGTTCAGAGGACAAGGGCAAATCTACTTTCTAGTAAATAGTATTCGCACGCACTTTTAAAATAAATTGATGCCGAGATAAACTTGGTTCAGAAGGAAATTCAAGGCTTTGAAGATTTAAAAATTTCGAATGATCTCGTCAGACGGGAATTTAAATCATCTTGTATTTGGGTTGAGGAAATATAGAGATTTATATTATAGTTTCGTGTCACCATGCTCAAACTATTTTAGTCTAACTACATTAATATATTGAACTGCTATTTTCAACTTCCACTTGCAATGCGCATCAGGACTTCTGTGTAGTTCGGATTACACTCAACCTTAAGAATAATTTAGTTCTACCGTTCGGAGATTACAGTTTCATTCATTTTAGGATGGCAAAACGGTATTTTGAAGAAATTATAATATATCACACGTATTTGGCAATGAATAATTAGCAAGTTATTTAGTGAATCACGTCACAAAAGTTGCGTAGCACCTCAAAGTTTCAGAAGACATTCGTAAACACACCACACGCACCGGGAAAGTAACCATTAGTAAACGAGAGGCGGGCGAAATGTGGCGACGCGATACGGAATTTCGTCCCAGTTCTGCAGCGTCAAATCACGAATAGATTTTCGATTTTGATCAAGTTGAATGCTTTAATTCAATATTAAAAAGATTATATTTGATGATAGATTGCCTTTCAAGTAGTAAGTAACATTACATTTGTGAGTTACAACATTTATGTGATTATTTATGTGATTATATTATGTTATTTATTTCCGTAGGTTGTATATTATACAAATTATGAGGGACCCTAACAATTTAGGATTACGCATGTAGGACATCAACGAAGGTTTAAGGAACGACTCTATTCAATAGTAATAAAAATAACCATTATTTCGTTTAATAATTATTCATAGTGCGGAATTCATGAGAATACTATGTAGTTGAGGAAAATTTCCAAGTTTACGAGGCTTGAGCCGTGGAAATAAGTAAATTGAATAAAATTAGGAAGTTATCGTAAATTTTTGGTTCATAAATTTGCTTATTAATGTGCATTCCGGAATACAAGAAAGTGTTGACAAAATTTTAACAAGGGTGCAAAATATAACTACTTTTTAAGATATGCGAATGTAGGTTTTGGAAACGGAATGTAGTGATGAACTTCAGTGAAGTTTACAAATGGAATCAATAAAATTTCTGACCGCAGTCAAATACATATCTTTGGCGTGTTAGAATATTAGTGCTAAAAAAAGTGTTCCGTCAGTAAGAAAGGGATCAGTGAAGGGTAGCAGGGAAAATTCAATGTAAAATAGAATGCACTGGAAACCGAGTCACTTTTTTGCACTGGAAATGGTGTTACTTTTTTGCACTGAAAATGTAAACACTTTTTTGCGTTGTAGATGGAGTCCCTTTTTTGCAAAGAAAATGAATTCAGTAATGAAAATTAATTTTTTTGTAAAGAAAATGAATTTTGTAAAGAATTCAGGTCCACAGGATACCAAAAGATAATCCTGCTAAATTTCAAAGCATTATTCATAAGCTGGATTATATAAAGAGCCTTCTACGTAAATACAATATCATAATCGAGATCTTGTACTCAGGAAAATGAATGGGTTAAATTGTCCAAATAGCGATACCCTCACTAAACGCACCACAGATTCGCCAATATATCAGGATAATCATAAAATATTATATATATAAAAATAATTTAATTAATAAAATTAATTCCTTTTTGTTGGAATGGTGAGTGTGGGAGGCCTTTTAAAAAAATGTCAGGACCGACTCAAGTGCTTTAGAATGACCGACTCAAGTGCTAAAAGAAAGAGCATGGTTATTTGGACAAACACTGCACTCATTCTTCTGAGTGTAGGCGTGGATACGCAAGTCGACTGCAGTGTAAAATTAAAACAAGATGTTATCGCTTTATGCAGGTACAGGTTGATAAAATTGTACTATGTTATTTTATATTTTATTTTAATAGATTATTTCTATCAAGAAGAAAATAGGTAATGCTACGAATCAGCTTAATACATTTCTATTTTTAAAAATGCAATTCTCAGAATCTTCATTCAAGCTCATTCAATTTGCAATTAATTTATCTAATTTAAGTTTACAGGATCAAGGGATTGCAATCTGGTGCTAAATAAATAAACATTTTAAACTATAATAAGTAAATGTAAGGCAAATAAAATTTTGTAAATGTCGCAAAAAATAAAGAATAAGCGACTGTTTCAAAAATGAAGCGACGACAAAACCGGAAAAGTCCCGATCTCCTTTTGAAAAGATTCTGAAAGATGTAGAAGTGCCGACAAAGATAAACTCATAAAAGAAAATTCTTAAACATTTTCTCAACGAAAGTAAAGCACTCTTCTTGGCTTCAAGATGAAG